CCTCCGGACCGATCTGAATACTTGGGCGGACCTGCACAAAAAGGTGAGCACTCCGACGATCAAGTCAGTATAGGTCGGATTCCCAGTTTAGTTCGAGGTCAGAAATCATCGTACCTGATCGCGGAGTGAGGTCCTCTACTTATGGGTGGTAGTTCCGCTAATCCCGCGACGGTTACACCCGGTAATCTCGGGACCGTCGGTTACACCCGGTAATCTCGGGACCGTCGGTTACACCCGGTAATCTCGGGACCGACAGTTACACCCGATAATCACGCCGCTGACAGTAGTTCACATCGACCCCACCGAGCTTCCCGGTAGGTCGGACCTCGACCAGGTTCACCTCGGCCCTCATACTTAGCATCTGTCAACGCTAGCGGTGGTGATCTCGGGCGTCCGAGCTGGGCATGACTCATGAGTCATCGTGGAGCACCAATAGGGGTCCTCCACGTGTCCAGGGTATTCTCTCCCCAAACAAGACGAATTGTTCAAATCGGACATTTTGAAAATTCAAAATACAATGTACTAAAATAAACAAAAGCTAAAAAGTACAACCACCAAAATAATATTTTAATAAATTATTTGTTTATTAAAAATGGAAGAAGTAATCATCATAAGTACAACTCATTACTCCAGAAAAGTTAAGGCTAAATCTACGGTTCAAATCTCAGTGTTTCGAGCACCAAAATAGTTATCCCGTAAAATTAGTCCAAATGGATATACCAAAGGAGTAATATTATTATTTGAATGATAAAATTCTGAGCTAGAAAAATCCAACCGACCTAAGGCCACGGAAACCAACAAAGTCGAAGATTTTACAGAGGACCCGTAATCAAATTCCACTTTGCATTCATCGACTTGAAAGTCTTCGTCAATGCGTCAAATCTTTTTAATTTTACTTGCTCGCTAAGCTTGTGGTTTTGCTATATTAATGGGCAATTTCTTTGATTTTTGTTCATCCATCCCTCGCCAATTCGCTTCTACAACCGGCCAACAACGAGCAAGGATTTCCAAGGATTATGGCTTCTGATGCTTTGCACGATCTGAATTCCTTGATTTCCTCCGATGGGAGAGACTTTCTCATCCGCAACAATGGCGATCAGGTATCTATCTTTTCGTTTTCGTTGTCCTGTTCAGGCTCGTGGAACTTCAATTCCGTATTTTAGTGGATTGCATACCGTTTCGCACTTTCATGGGGAGTTTTGGGAATCTGTGAAAGGAAATTGAGTGAAGTGCTCTTATCGGCCACTAATTTGGGTTTTCAACAGGTGAAGATCAGTTTCTTAATCGGAAAGAATGTAGGGTTGTATTTCTCGGCGTCATGGTGCCCTCCCTGTCGCCGTTTCACTCCCATTTTTGCAGGGGTTTACGAGGAATTAGCATCCAAGGGTGATTTTGAAGTTATCTTCATTTCTGGTGACAACGATGATGAATCTTTCAAGGACTACTTCTCCAAAATGCCCTGGTTGGCCATTCCATTTTCTGATTCAGACACCAAGAAACGCTTGAATGAACTTTTCAAAGTGAGGGGAATTCCTTATCTTGTTGTTCTCGATCCCAACGGGAAGGTTTCAACTGATCAAGGAGTGAGACTGGTCAGTGAACATGGGGTTAATGCGTATCCCTTTACTGCTGAACAGATCAAACTTCTGAAGGAGGAAGAGAAGGAAGCTAAGAGGAACCAAACCATTAGTTCCATCTTGGTTTCGACCTCGCGAAATTACCTGATCTCAAATGATGGAAATCGGGTATAATTTCTTCAATGATTTATGGGACTCTTCCATTTTTAGTGCATTGACGTGGTAACTATAATTTTGTGCTCTAGATTCCTGTATCTGAGCTTGAAGGGAAACTGGTTGGGCTGTATTTCTCTGTTTACGGCCATAACTCGTGTGATGAATTTACGCCTATTTTGGTTGATGCTTACAACACACTGAAAGAGAAGGGAGAGAACTTTGAGATTGTGTTGATCTCTCTAGATGATGCAGATGACGACTTCAAAGAAGCATTCAAAACAATGCCATGGCTGGCATTGCCATCAAAGGATGAGAAATGTAAAAAACTCATTCGTTATTTTGAGCTTAGAACTATACCTACTCTTGTTATAATTGGGCAAGATGGGAAGACTTTGAACTCGAACGCTGCAGAGCTCATTGAAGAACATGGTGTTGATGCCTATCCTTTCAGTTCAGAGAAACTTGAAGAGCTTGCTGCGATTCAGAAGGCGAAGCTCGAGTCACAGACTCTGGAGTCCATTTTAGTTCAGGGAGAAAAAGATTTTGTTATTGACAATCATGGTGCAAAGGTATAATTTCTTGCTGCTGCTTAGCATCATCTATGAGCTAAGCCACAATGTGTTGTGTAGTACTATTTAGTTGTTTCCTTCGGTATGTTGATGTTTGATTGCCTTTCGTTTGGCCAGATCGCGGTATCTGAACTGGTTGGCAAGAACATTTTGCTCTATTTCTCCGCACACTGGTGCCCTCCATGCCGTGCATTCTTGCCTAAGCTAATAGAGGCATACCACGAAATTAAGCAAAAGGACAAAGAGTTTGAAGTCATTTTCATTTCAAGCGATCGAGACGAAGATTCGTTTAAAGAATTCTTTGCGGGAATGCCATGGTTAGCCTTGCCATTTGGGGATGAAAGGAAGAAGTTCCTAAATCGCAGGTTCAAAATCCAAGGCATTCCTGCAGTTGTAGCCATTAACCAAAGCGGTCGCACAGTCTCAACAGATGCCCGTAACCTCATTACAGCTCATGGGGCAGATGCCTATCCATTTACAGAGGAACGTCTCAAGCAGTTGGAGGAGCAGCTGGAAGAAGAGGCAAAGGGGTGGCCTGAGAAACTGAAACATGAACTACATGAGGAACACGAACTTGTTCGGACGCGTCGTAATGCATATGGTTGCGATGCGTGTGACGAGATGGGATATGGTTGGTCCTTTTATTGTGAGGAGTGTGACTTCGACTTGCACCCGAAATGTGCTTTGAAAAGCGACGTGGAGGGAGCCAAGGAGGGAAAGGAAGGGTGGGTATGCGAGGGAGGCATGTGCCGTAAAGCGTAAGAATTCATATTCTTATTCAGAATAGCTAAGAATATGTAAGCTTATGATGGTATGTGCTTTGCTTGTTGCCTTTTTCTTTTGTGATGTCCTGGTGTGTACTGCAGCTATGTTGTGTCAAACCATAATCTGTAATCTGCTTCTCAGTTTCAATAAATTATGAGGTTTACAGCTCCATCCACTTGTTTCCTTTATGCAGATTCAGAAGAAGAAACTTTTGTGCTACTTTGCCTTTCTTTTGGTTATTTCTAAACCGCTTGCAAATTTCAGTTTGTGGGAAGAAGTACTGCAGAAACTTGTTAGTGTGAAGACATTAATAGTCTACTGTTGAATGTTGATGTGTGTTATAACTAAACGTAGGAATTAAAAGAGTGAGGAGAAGCTAACTTGAGCTTTCATATAGTTAAAGGCATAAATTTTCGACCGAAAGGTCGGGGCTTGAATCTCTACTCCTGGACATGTTGTACTTGGGGAAAAAAAGTGAGGAAGTTATAGAGAGATTATGGAAAAAACTTCGTGCTCCTTACCTCAAGTGACATTTATAAAAACAAAACAAGTATTGGTTATTGCTTTTTTAAATTATTTTATTAAATCACATAATCTCTTTTATTTTGTATGTTTGTGGAGGTACACTCTCTAACTTGATGGTGCTTGATCAAAGTCTTCAAATCTCCTTAAATGAATTAAGGGTGATATCTTTATTTACATGAACTTGAGGAATTTTGGACCGAACCTATAGAATTGGACTCTATTTAGGTTATTGGCACAATTTAATTTAAGTAGGTCTAGGCTTGGTTGATTGTAGACCCAACTTTGAACTTACCTTTTTTAGAGTCATAGGTCAATCCTAGATCAAGACTATTATCAACTCTTCAGTATAATTGGCCGAAATTTAATGATTTTTTTGGCCCAATTTTCATATCAACCAATTTGACTCAGGCAACTGTCATTATTTTGATTTGTCATTTTTTATAATGTTGATCCAGATGATCAAAATATGATTTTGAGTCATAATTTTGATTTTAATTTTTTTGACTGTAGACTGAGATATTACTTTGGGCCTAACTTTACTTGAAATTAATCCATCAGAAATTCAATTTTTTTAAAAGTAGAATTAACTTTAAAATTTGGAATTTATCTGATTTTTAACTGAATCAAATTTGATTTATCGGATCAAATTTGAAAATATGAAATTTATCCGACAGTAATGATAGCACTTTTGTAATTAAATTTGAAATCCAACCCATCTTTAAATTATGTATCGTAATGATAAATTATATAATTTGATTTAAAAGGCATTTAAAGTTTATCCATCGAAATTCAATATTTTTTTTTTCCAAAAAGAATCAACTTTAAAATAATTGGAAAATATAAAATTTATTTAATACTAATGGCCAGAACCGTGAATCAAATTTATCCTTGGCCTTGATTTGAGTTAGATTTTGTAATTAAATTTAAAATCCAACCAATCTTCAAATTTGAATTTGAATAATAAATCGTAAAAGATAAAGATATGATTTTGAATCGGGATATCCTGATTTTATTTGAATCCTATAAATTGGAACACTGACTAAAGAACTCAAAATTTTTATTTTTTATTTTTTATTATTTGTTCTCTCTGTTCTTCTTTTTCTCTGGCGTGGCGCTTAAGGTAAGCTTCCGATCTAATGTCCTTTATTACCCCTTTTTTTTTTGTTATATCTATATATAAAACATAGAACATTATTGTCTCATGATTTTATTATTATATAAATATTTTTTTTTTCTTTCTTCCAGTTGATGGTGTGGTATGTGGCCACTTGGGGGCATATTTTCGTCCCATCTTTCTAGAGTCGGACTCTTTGAAGGACTTATCTGAGTTGGGTGCCTAGGCAGGCGTTGCTCTTTGTCGGATCTGGTTTGCTTCTCCTTCACTCATCGTGAAGGTAATACCGTAGTTCACAGCAGGATCGCATTTGGATTGAAGAGGTTCCCTTTGAATTTTTCTTTTTAATTGCTTCTGATTGTTCTGTTTTCCTTTCTTAGTTGCATTTTGTTGCACGTAGAAAAAAAGTTGATGGTGTGGTATATATATATTAGTACAATACGTTGGAATAAAGGAGATTCGAACTCACATGAGATAGAATGCAATAGAAACAAAGATAGGAACGGGTTACCTACTCTTAACGGTCAAAGCGAACCCTTTCATTCCGAATTAGAATTCGGAATGAATCAAATCTCCCCAAGTAGGATTCGAACCTACGACCAATTGGTTAACAGCCGACCGCCCTACCACTGAGCTACGGGAAATTAGGTCTCGTAGAATTCAATTCCCGTTCTCAACCCATGACCAATATGAGCTTGAGGTTTCCTTCCCGGAACTTCTTTGTAGTGGCTCCGCTCCATGCCTCATTTCATATAGAACCTCAAAGTGGCTCTATTTCATTATATTTCATCCATATCCCAATTCCATTCATTTAATGAGATGTCGTTTTTAGTCTATCTGTTTCTATTTCTATATATATGAAAAGTTTAAAAATCATCATATAATAATCCAGAAATTGCTTGGAGGTATATGTTAATTATCGTATATATTTCTTGGGTGGGGCAGAATTTTTTTTATTATATTATATTTTTTTTTACTCTCTCCCACGTCAGGGAGGGTTTCAAAGTTTTTAATTTTTATTCTTTAACGAAAAATTTTTAATCTTGCAGCAAACGTTTTTTTTCTCCCCTTAAGAATTGAGATTCTCTCTCTTTTTAATTTTTAATAACTGGTTTTTTTTTTCTTTTATATGAACTTTTCCTTTTTTAACCGAAATCCTTGAATTTTTTTGTTTATTATTTTTAACTTAAAATCTCTTTCACTCAATTTTTTTTCTTGGTTCTTCAATTTTTTTATTTTGTTGATTCTCATTTTCGATTGAGAATCTCAGTTTTTGTTTTCTTTCGGTTTTTGTTTTCTGTTTCAGTAACAATACTTAATTTCTAGAGGTATGGTGGATAACAACGGCTATATTTTGCAACTTCTTCCATTGGGATGAGACATCAGTTTTACTTATCACTTAATTGTCAAGGTTTACTTATCACTTAATTGTCAAGGTTTGTATTTTATGATCGATTTTTAGTACAACAAGTTGGGGAAGAGATTCGTATATGTCAATTACCGCTGAGCTATGCTCGTTTTGGCTATCTTATTTGCTCTTCTTTTTGCTTCTTCTCTTTGTTGCAATTGAACCTCTTGATTCTAATGGTGCGCCAACTTGATTCTAATGGTGTGCCAACTGATTTTACGAGCCGAGAAGCGAAGCTTTAGGAGGCCAAAGTTGAAAGCTACTAGGGAAAAGAGGAAGAAATGATGTGCAAAATGTGGAGTCAGGCGATTTCACACAGGTATTATTAAGTTCTATAAAAAATTTATTAGTTTGAATAAGTTGTTGCATAGATTTTTCACAAGTAAAGGGATATGAGTTCTGTTGTATAATCTCACTTGTTATAATATGTAGTATTTGTACTTTGGAATATGGGGATAAATCTTTTTGAGGGGAGGTTATAATGTTAATGCCACACTATGATCGAGAAGCCAGGTTCTTCATTCTTAAAGCCGTGCGAAAAAGAGAAGGTGAACAAGAAGATTTTCCGATTGAGATGTATGGATCCATGGGCCTATGTGTAGAGAGAGATCCTTTTCATGAATTAACGAAAATGTGCAAAAGCTCTATTTGCCTCTGCCATTCTATGAGTCTCTTCCTTTTTACGTATGGCATCGCCACTCCCTTTGGCAGCATCCACTAATTCGGAACTGAATTTGAAAGCCATATTTCGACCCGGACGTTTTTGGGATGCCCCTAATAACCAACGAATGGCACAGTTATTCTAGTTTGCGTTTTTCTGCATTGAAAAAGACCTTCATCCTTCTTCGTTTGAATTTTCTTGTCCATCCATGGCTTCATCCTCTCAAAGCACCTCTTTCTCGTCATCATCCTCCATAATTCCAGTAACTTCTCATCTCCCAAACACCCAAAATTTGAAAATAAACTCCTACACCCAAAATTTCGCCCAACAACAGTCCATGGGAGTTTTAGCCCGTGTTACGCTAACTAGATGTTGCAACAAGCACCGATAAGTAACCAATATAGTGGGTCATTGGTCTGGGCTCAAAATCTACCTACTTTAGGCACGTTTCAATAGGATTTGAATCCCTTTTCAACCAATTTTCAGCAACGGTTCGGGAATACTCCATACGGTACGTATCTATCGTTTTTCCATCCTATCTTGCTTATGGTTCATATTCGTCCATTTATCCAGCCTTCCCATGAGGATTCCACCATATTTATCATCCAAATCAGCCTTTTATCCTTCAAAACAATTATTTCCAGTCGCACCACTCACTTGAACTGGACAAAAATTTGTTATCATATGCCCAAACTCCCCCAACTATAGTCAGTACCCTTCCTCCATCATCTCAATTTATGTTTTTAGGAGGGATGCAAATCAGTGGGTATCAATCGGGTTCCATGTATACTCGAAGTCGTAGTTTTGGAACGACATTAAGGCTCTTGAGCCTTCTCAATTGCCCACTACTACACCAACTATCTGATTGTCTTTACTCATTGAAAAATTCATTCTTGTACTACCTCCTTGTAGTGCTCCTAGTAACCCCCCTCTTCCCTGGTACAAAGATCTCAAACCTCTTCTTCTTGTTTCTCAATGAATAATCCCCAATTTTCGGAATGCTTTCCCACTCTTACGGCGACAGAGTATATAACTTCCGCTTTAGGTCCGCAAATTGCTCTGTGATTTTAGGGTTCGAAGCACGGTACTTCTCAATCTCTTCCTTTTAATCTTGCCTCTCTCCTATCGTTTCTTCTCAAATCCATCCGCTTATCGATTACCTCCCATACGACATTAGCCTCCTTATCGTATTCAGCCGATGCGAATAACCCTACACCGTTGCCTTCGAATTCATCAAACTTCTGATTCTCATCATATCCTTTGTCCTCTCCTTCATCTTCTTCCTCTTCCTCCCCACCTTTCTCATGCCTTCTATTGGCTGGAGCGGTGGCGACCCGTCCAATAGTTGTCAAAGACATATTAGGAAGGTCTGGAGCAGCTCGAGTCGGACCAATATCAGACCTAGTCGTATATCCAATCGCACCACGTCCTAACCCAGCAACATAATTAGGAGGTTTGGAATTCAGGAAATCCGATTGAGGTTTTGGGATAGTGGGAGCTTTCATACCTCCATATAAGTGAACGTGGAGGGTTTAGAGTTGAATTGGGTTGGACTCGAGGGAGAGCAACGTGGAATCATCGAAATCTCATAATATGAAGCTTTGGGATAAGAACAAGCGCTGAGGAGAAACAGGTATGTTGGAAACCTCCTTTATTGCCCGCTTCAGGTCAAGAAGGGAAGTAGCGGCGGGATTTAGGTTAAGGAATAGGGTTGTTTGGTTGGGGATTGTAAGGAACACCATGATTGAGATGCGAAGCTCAAAAGAGAGTTGCAAATCAGTGGAGGAATGCGATAGATTTGAGTTTCGAAGGATGAAAAGTTGTAACTAGAAACCAAAAGGAATCGTCCCTTCGACGCAGAGTTCTGTATAAGGGTTGCGTTATATTGTGTGCCTCTGTCAGGAACGAACTCCACCTTTTATAAGAGAGTTTTTGGAAGCGTTGTCATATCATTATAGAGCTCTATACCACTTTGTTTGATCCATCTCATCTTCGATTTATCCAACCTGTGGCCCAAATACCAATTTTCACAGGCCGCGTGACATAATTCCACCTCTAACAATAATATATTATTTGACACATAAAATTCCATTTATCTTCAAATTATATCTAAATATTTTAAATTTTAAATTTTTAAACGCATATAGTTTTAAGTTTTAATTGTCGGATCTATAAGTTATATACTACTAAAAATATTTATTAAGTCATCTCAATTTTATTTTTCGGAGGTTTGATCACGTTGAAATTTGAATTTTAGAAACAAGTTATGATTTCTGTTGTATCTAAAAAAAAGGAATACTCAGATGTTTAATACAATTATAAATTTTTAGGTGAGGTGATATCATAAATTTCATTTTAAAAATATTTGCTTTATTCAACATTTACATATACAATACATTTTTAAAAAAAGGCAATACTTTTTTTTTAAACTCATTTCTTCTAATTACAATTAATTTACATTCTTTGAAGTTTATATTTTATAATGTGCCAAGTAGACTAATGATAGCAACAAATGACAAAATGGAAAGGGCATACATAACATATTTCAAATATGTTTAAAGTAATTTTATTTTAGTTTCTGATTTTGGCTATTTTAATATTTCGATACTTTTAAAAAATAATCATTTTAATTATTTTATTTTTATTTTTGTCTCATATCCTCTAATTAACACTTCACTAACTAGCCATAAATTGATAATAAAAAATTTTCTTTGGATATAAAATTTATATTCAAGTTTTGTAAATTGGAACCAAAATAATCACTTTATAAAAGTATAAGGACAACGTTTCAAAAGTATAGAGACTAAAATGAACAAAAATTAAAAATATAAAGACTAAAATAGATGTTTTAAAAGTAGAGAAACCAAAACCGAAAATCCAATAACTAAAATAAAATAGTATTCATCTTAACCTTAACATGTTCTTATAGTCAACTTCTTCAAGTTGTTTGAAGTGAATTTTTGCTGAACTATTGAGAGAGAATCTTCAAATGATCTCAAGAATAAAACCGTACAATATCAATCAATAGTATGAAACTGCATAAGAAAGTGAATGTAAAATTAGAAGTCTAGAAATAACCAGTGGTTAAGGTGGGGAGAGAGATCACGAGAGCAAAGAAAAATCTAGACTTCTTCAATCTCAACTATTCAAACTTGGAAGCACAAAAATTCCAAGCCTACTCTAACCAAGTTAGTATAACATGATGACGATTCAAGTTGTGAGGTGGAACACTATAGCTTGGTGCTCGGTTCCTTCTGAGACAATAGACCAAGCACGGACTAAGACATTGACATCCAATTCATCCAAGTTGGAACCCGAGTTCGAAGCCAAAGGCTGCAGCTCTCATACCATCGTTTTGCAGGTTATCCTACCAAGAAATTGTTTGAAAAAGAAAGAGGAGAAGAAAGGGGAAAAGAAGAAGGGGAGTGGGAAGGGAGAAAAGAACAAACACCAGTGAAAAAGACTAAACAGTTAAGTTTTACCCAACCAATATCCTACTACTACAACCAGCAATCAGAAAAATTATCTGTACAGCTAATGCTAATCTTCTCCTACAACAATCCCTCAATTTCATCGATCAGTATTGTTTACCATCTTTTCAATCTCACTAACATTATATGCTAAAGTTTATATTGTAGGGGGAAAAAAAGGAAAGAACACCTGTAGCATATGCATCGAGTATCATTCTAGATTCATTGTCCAACATGCGCTTTTCAAGCTCCTCAAGCAGAGCTAATCGCGAATAAAGGTTCACTTCGATCATATACTAATTGATTTTATTCTCTTTTGATAAAAAATCCCACCAAAATGATAACCCTAAACCTAGGATATCAAAAAATCCAATCAAATATATTGCAAGGAGTTCACGAGCACATATCTGGATTTAATCAAATAGATAAGTTGATATAGCTTTCCCCTATGGACATGCTCTACCAAGCAGTTACAAACAATGGTACCTGTGAAATATATATTTGCAATTCACCACGAATTTGGATTCACTGCAACTCTATGAAACAAAACCATAAGCCACAATCTTTATATAAATACACATTATTTTTCTTTTTCATTTTTCTTTTATTTTTTACCATAAATAAGACATCATAAGAAATATTCCAGCATCTAAGTACTGTAAATTGGCACAGTAATACTAATACAACAAAATACCTCCCCTAAGTTGAAGGGTTCTTCTGAACTTGTGAACATCACAAACTGCTCCCGACGCAACGAATTCAAAAATTGCACCCTCAACCGTGACACCCATAACATATCTCTTCAACAAATATTGTACCCCGTAAATTTCCTACGGACACATTTCTCTTGATGAGGAGAAACACGTCACAGTGTTCGGGAAGCCAGCGAAGACGTTCGAGTATGACTTGGTTAGATAGGAAAAGTTGATGGTTGGTGGTAGAGGAGGTACCCTTTCACCTTTCTTTAAAAGATCTTGTAAGTTCAATCTCTGCAAGGTCAGGACAGATCTAGACTCCTTCCAAATGAAAGCCAGTTGGCCATTCTGAAATACAAAGAGAGAACCGGGCTTCGAACCAGGGTATCTAAAGCCATACCCATTGGCAATGCCCTCTCCCGTAAACGTATGCCGAATGCTCACAGGTAGCAGATCCCCATCAGACTCCCAAGGAAATGGATCGACCGAAGGTTCGTTAATATTCACTCTGAACATTGCAGAACCATTAGGATGTAAAACATAGTGAGTACCTTCCAATATTTTCGTTGCAATGAGAAACAATTGTCCCTGGGATTTCTCGTAYGAAAGCAAAAGAAAGAAAAGGGCTTTTCCRGGCTTGTCTTCTGTAGGCTTSCCCGGAGGCCAGCCGAATGTYCCTCCCCATAAACCAGCATACTCTTGCTCGGCAGTTGGCACTCGCATTGGCAATTTATACAGTGCAAACCGGCTGTCGTGCATATTAGGCCATCCTCGGTAAGAAGATAGCTTCATGGTCGATGCGTGCAATGCCAATCCGACCGTATCACCCGATTTAAGAAACTCTTCAAGTTGCACATATTTATTGACACTRCTTGAACAACTATTCTTTGACATTCCTTTGCTATCATTAAATAAGCCAGATTTCCCCAGTATCTGATTAAGGCTTTGCCTCAAATACCTGCCAAGATTTTTCCTTTTCGCGCATCTTTCCTGATCATTGTCCGCATTAATCGACTTGTGAAGACCACTCGAACCATCAAGAGACTTTCTGAACTCACTTAGTTCCAACTGAGTAGGATTTGGTAACAGTTCAGAACTACCCTTCCAAGACATTTGACTTCCACCAACTTTATGAATCTGCATAAGTACTGATCTCCTTTCTGATAACTCCAACATATCTTTCTCGAAGTTAACTTCATCATCCCTCAACCTAGGAAATAGCGGCCCAGTAACAAGGTCGGGTGCCTTGACACGAACTTGACTCATTACAGTTTCGAGCAACTTTCTTCTATCACTAAAAGCCAACCGGCCAAACGGCACCTTTGCCTCAGGCTGTCCAAAACCCCTCTGGGACTTAGAAATTTCACTGTTAGACCTACAAACCTTTCTAGACTCTTGATTTGAATGGTTAACAAAGCATTTACCATGTAACAAGTTACTACTACACTCGTGCTTGTGCGATCTAGTGTCAACCTCAAGAAGAAGCACGTTGCAACTCTTATCGACAGCCTTCACCAAACCCGGATAAAAATAGTCACTCCCCTTCTCCCTTCCATGTAGAAAAAATGCAGTGGACCCATCAACATCTCCCAGGATTTCGAAAACAGGTGCCCAGAGAATTGGCCCATCTTCAATGCCTAACGGACCAAGTTCTTGAGGGATAATCCGACAACCAACAATCGAAACAAAACCCGGCATCACATAGACTACATTCCCAAGCTCCGGATTCTGATGAACCCATATTCCAATCAATGGCTCAACACTGCTAAGAAAGCGGCAAAGTGCCTTAAATGACGCCATACCCGTTCGCCATTCGATAAGTTCTTTGGCCGCCAAAATTCCAACCATCTCACATTGCGTAAGCCAGACCTTTTCAGATGTTACCGTAGCGTATAGACTCCTACAGCATAGACTTAAATTACACAGGTCCCTTGGAGCAAGGGACCGCGACACGATCGAAAACACATCATCTGGGAGGGAAAGGAGCAAGCTCGATCCACAGACTTCAGTCAACATATGCAATCAGTAAAAATTTAAACCAGAAATGCTTCAAATTAAGTTACAACACAGTTCATTCCAATAAGAGGATTCTAAATCCAGCAGAGAACAACATGAATGGAGCAAAAGTTCAGAGCAGCCAACGAAAGCCGAGACTGCCCTGTTTCTCTATCAAGATGATATTCTTTCCCACATCAAAACCAACAAATAGATCAGATTATTCCTGGAAACTGTAAATTAATTTCTTGAATCGGTACAGAAGGAGACACCAAATCCAAAAGGTTCCGACCAAAAAATGAATATAGCAGCTGACTTGCCCTAAATCCCCAAAACGAAGATAGGGTTCATCGCCGATTCGCCATCTGGTGAAGGAAATAATCGGAAATCAAATGAGAAAACCTAGAACAGAACGAACCGAACCTGATTTGCATGAAGAGGGCATGAGAAATAGACGAAATTCAACTCTCGAAGCTTGATTTCTATGGCCGTGCCTCGCAATTCATCGGACCCCCCTCGGCGATGGAAAACGAAGATTAATCCTGACACTTTCCGGGAAAATTAAAGAACAACAGAGAGAGTAATACCTAATTTTCCGAGGAACCAAACAGTTTACCAATCGTCAAACCGAGAGAGCCCTAGATCTGATGGAACTCCGACGAAGCGAGAGCCAATGGCGCGCTAACTACGAAGAATGTCGAAGGAAAACATACCAATTTCGACGAAACCGCGGATTTTCTTTTCTTTTCTTGTTTTTTCGGCAAAGGAAACCGCGAATTTTTCTTCTCTCTTACTGATTTTTTGTTTGTAAAATTATGAATTTATTTCTTTTTTCTTTTTGCAAAGGTAAAATTATGAATTTAGCCCTTTCTTTAAAAATTCTAAAATATATTCGAACGTAAAATCAATTTTACCCTCAAGTGTTACTAGTTAGCAAGTTGTATCAAATTTTATGGTGAACTTTCAAATTTATCAAATTACATCTTACGATTTTCATCTTTTTATACGTTTTCTTATATAAATTCGTTAAAAAAGTATTAGGTTAAGGTACAAAATTCTTTATTTAAAAAAATTAGAGCTTTTTTTTAGTGAAATTTAAATCGATGAACTTTGAGTTATTCGCCTTAGCATATCTCTCGATATAGGAAGGGGCATTTTCTTGCTTATTAGCACCCCCTTACCCCTAAACTAAAAGTGGTTGAATTTGTGTATTAATTAAACTTGATTTTATGAAAAGCTCGATTTCATTGAGATTATTTGAGGCTTTTTTTAGATCTTTACATTGTTTTTTACTTTTTTTTTTTTTAAGTACAATGGGGTATGTGAATTTGAACCTCTAACCTCAATGGAAATAGTAGATGCCATTAACCGCTAAGTTAAGTTCATGTTGCACATTATTTTTTAATTAGTTAATGAATACGATAAATTGATTAAAGGTTAAAAATTGTAACAAATTGATTAAAGGTTAAAAATTGTAACACTTATCTAAGTCTACGATCCAATTTGATGAAATTAAAATTTATAGTAAAAAGTAATCAATTGCCAATGTTAGGTGTAAATTGATTTTAAGTTTAGTAATGGAGAAATGCATTTAGCGACTATTTATTGTTTGTTGTTATTATGTGCAAACCATAGAGAGAGAAAAACTTTATTAACATAATAATTCTCTAATACATCTTATGATATGAAGTCATCACATATAAATACTGAAATAGTTATAGTACTAACTAACTTGAGTTACTATCATGAGTTAATAACAAACTATTGTTAACTAACTCTAATACTCCCCCTCAAGATAGAGTGTAAAGATCAATAACACCCATCTTGGGCATAAGAAACTTCAAGGTGGAAGAAGGAAGAACTTTTGTAAACATGTCAGCTAATTGAGAGCTCGAACGAATCAATAGAAGCTTCAAAAAACCATCAGAAACTTTATCACGAACAAAATGGTAGTCAATCTCAATATGTTTGGGTTCGTGAAAAGTGGGGTTAGAAGCAATGGAAACAGCAGCATGATTATCACAATAAACAAAAGCAGGTGAAGAAAGTGGCACAGAAAAATCATGAAGTAACTGCTGAATCCATATAAGTTCACTGGTGACAGCAACCAAAGCTCGATATTCAGCCTCTGTAGAAGAACGAGAGACAGTGGCCTGTTTCTTAGACTTCCATGAGATCAATGAGTCATCAAAGAAAACACAAAAACCAGTAACAGATCGACGTGTACCAACACATGAACCCCAATCAGCATCAACAAAAGCTTGAAGCCCAAAAGAAGAAGTCTTGTGTAACAAAACGCCTTGACCAGGACTTAAGATATCTTAGTAAATGATGGACAACATTAAGGTGGCTAGAACAAGACTGCTGGAGAAACTAGCTCAGTTTATCCACAGGAAAAGAGATATCGGGTCGAGAAATCTGTAAATAAAGCAAACGGTCAAGTAAACGCCGATAAGCATTAGCATCCTTATCAGATAATGGTTCACCATCATATTTAGATAACCGAAGATTCGGATCCATGGGAAACACAGCAGGTCTAGCACCAAGAAAACTAGTGTCTTCCAAAATTTGAAGACAATACTTGCGCTGAGATAAAGAAATACCACGAGATGAACGAAATATTTCCAAGCCTAAGAAATATTTAACTGAACCCAAGTCTTTCAACTGAAAATGTGACTTCAAGATAGTCTTGACAAAATTAAGAACAGTATGTGAAGGTCCAGTTAAGATAATATCATCAACGTAAACTAATAAGGCCACAAAAGTATCGTCATGTCCTCTAGTAAACAAAGAGTAGTCAACCTTAGATTGGGTAAAAGCCATGAGAAAGTAGAGCATGAGAAAATTTTGTAAACCATTGTCTAGAGGCTTGCTTTAAACCATAGATAGACTTGTTAAGTTTACAAACAAGGGAACCTATGAACTAGACTCCCCCTGACTAGGAGTGTAACCAAGAGGCAACGACATATAAACTTCTTCAAATAAGTCTTCATTCAGAAAGGCATTATTTACATCCATTTGGGCAAGAGGCCAATCATACGAAGCTGATAAAGTGAGTAAAACCTTTACAGTCACAATCTTAGCAACATGGGAGAATGTATCAAGAAAACCAATACCTTCTTGTTGATTATACCCCTTTGCAATAAGGCGAGCCTTGTTGCGATCAACAGTACCATCTGCTTTATATTTGACACAATACACCCATTTTGAACCGATGGCATGATGATAGGCAGGAAGGGGAACAATCGACCATGTGTTTGTCCTCTCCATAGCAGCCAATCGACCATGTATTTAATAAAGTTTTATTCAATAAATTTGTTGTTGAATCATAGCTTTGCATTGTCTAAAATCCGATAAACTAAACATTCAAGGTTATTTATGATGTAATCGGGACAATATATATACGAGGTATATATTTGATATACCCCTGATATATGAATGGATAATATCTCGTGAATAACCTAAAGGGTCTATAGTATATGGATAAGGCTGGGTACCTTATCCTGGCAACACTATGGATACGGCCCACTCTGTAAAGGTTACAGACGACTCGATCCAGGTCGTTCGTGTGGAGACATGCAAGTGAGGGTATCTTGTACAATGAGTTTGTATAAGACCGGACCGCGAAATAGGCAATCTTTAGGTGTAACACCGTTAACTAATAGATTGCTATTTCTTAGGATGACCAGGCAACTCATTCTCAATCCTGAGTGAGTTATGGACTCCTGCCCGTGAGGGCTCGTCTTTTGATCTGTATGGGTGAGAGTGGCCCGAGTCGCCGACTCAACATTCCTACCATTTTGGGGACGAGACCGAGTAAGGAGCTGGGAACATAACTTCACAAGATGGAATTCACTTCTCCCCGACTTTAGGGGAGTAGATGAGTGTTCCCTTAAATGCTGACTCCGGGACTTGAACAAGGGGCCCCACCCTCTCATTGGCCGAGAGGGACTTCCGGTTATTGGTTGGACCATAACTGGGTTGTTCACTAGAGGAGCAGTGATGTTTAAGGAGTAAGATGTAACTCAGGGGTAAAACGATAATTTGACCCAACTTGAGTTACGAACACTCGTGAAGGATTGACTCGTCATTAATGGTCATATATCCATGGACACGAAAACATTCTGCAGTGAGAAGAGTGCAACTACGGGTCTTTAGTGGAATGACCCGTAGTTAACGAATCTAGATTAACTCGGTCAATGAGTTTGACCGATTAATCTTGCATCGTTGGAGCTTCGGATCTGTAGGTCCATTGGTCCCCTTGCTAGCTCATAACGGGTAAAACGAGGATCAAGTTTTTGGAAGAATTTGAATTGTTCAAATTACTTAAGGGATTATATGTATATTGATACATTATAATATATAGTTAATTGTGAATTAAAACTATATATTATGAGAGATATTATTTGAATGAGATTCAAATAAAATTAATATGAATAAGATTCTTATTAAAACTATAGGTTAAAAATAATGTGCATAAGATGTACATTAAAACTATAGCTTATACGAGAGTAATGTTTTAGAATATGATTTTAATTTTATAATAAATAATTAAGTGTTAATTATTTATGTATGTATATATTTATTAATTATTAATTGGATTAATAATTAATTATATTAATTAATTTGATTAATTAATTATATATATATATATATTAATTATTATATATTATAAATATATATATATATATATTAATATTATTATTATTATTATTAATATTAACTCCCTGCAAAATTGTAGGGGAGTGGGGGGTTGCTGTGACGTGGGGAGTTACCCCACGTCACTGTTCTTCTTCTTCAATGGTTGAAGAAAACAGAACACTACAGAGAAAAAATAAGCATCCCTAGATCTCTCTCAAGAAGCTAAATCTCTCCCTCTCGGTCCAATTTTTTGCTCCTACCAGCACAATCCCGAGACCCAAGAGGATAGCGAGGAAGAAATAGTGGTGGTGTTCGAGGAAAACTAGTTGAAGAAACGGTCTTCAAAAGTAAAGTTTTCTCTGTATTTTTCTTCTGTAAAATTCGGTTTTGTATCCCGAAAATCAGCAACGAAAATCTATTTCCGCTCCGGGATTCACATCCCTTCAATGTTAAACTTGTCCAATACTTTATTAACATACTCTTTCTGTGACAGTGTCAAAATACTATCTTTTCTCTCTATCCTCATCCCTAGGATTTGTTTGATAGCTCTTAAATCTTTCATGTCTAATTCATTAGATAATTCAACCTTTATCTTCATAATTTCTTCTTGTTTGGTCCTGCTATCAACATGCATCAACATATTGAAATAAAATGATGAATGAGTTACCCTGAGTTCTTATGTAACAACAATGATCTACATGACACCTCTAAAATCCACTACTGCACATAAAACTGTCAAACTTCTTATACCATTGTTTGGGTGCATGTTTGAGACCATATAGGCTTATCTGAAGTTTGTATACCATTTTCTCTTGCCTCTGTACTGTAAATCTCTATGGCTGCACCATGTAAATTTCTTCCTCCAAATCACCATGAAGAGAAGCTGTTTTTACATCCATTTGTTCCAGGAACAAATCTTCTTCTGCCACTATTGATAGAATAGTCCTAATGGTAGTTAATTTAACTACGGGAGAGAAAATCTCATTAAAGTCAATACATTCCTTTTGTTGAAAGTCTTTGACTACAAGTCTTACCTTGTATCTTTTGCTGCCATCGGGCTCCTGTTTGATTCTATATACCCATTTATTCTGCAAAGCTTTCTTACCTCTTGGTAACTCAGCAAGTTGCCATGTCTGATTGATCATTAGAGAATTCATTTCATCTTTCATGGCTAACTTCCACTTAACAAAGTCTTCCAACTGAACCGCCTCTTCATAACATTCAGGTTCACCTCTGTGAGTTAGTAAAATGTAATTCAATGTAGGGGAATACCTCTGTGGTGGTCTGATTGTTCTACTAGATCTTCTAACCGTTAGTGGTGGTGTTCTTTGAACTTGATCAGTTTCCACTACTGGTTCATCAGATCTCACAACTGTTCTTCAGGAGTAATTGTATTCTTATCTTCAATCTCTGTTGTTTTAGTCTCAACCTCGGGAGGACTTATATATTGAGTCTTCTCTAAGCTTCCATCTAACTTTTTCTTTCCTGAATCAACTTTATTTCTGTCTTTGTATAAGACTTTCTCATTGAAGGTCACGTTCTTGCTTCTAATAATCTTCTTGTTTTGGTCACCCCAAAATCTGTAACCTATCTCAGCTTCACCATACCCAATAAAGAAACATTTCTTGGATTTGACATCCAATTTACTCCCGTTTGCAGGATCAATGTAAAGGTAAGATACACAGCCAAAAACCTTTAGATGGGAAAGGTTTACTTGTTTACCAATCCAGAATTCTTCAGGCAATTTGAAGTCTAGTGATGTGGTCGGGCTCCTATTGATCAGATAGGTCGTACAATTGATTGTCTCTGCCCAAAACATCTTAGGTAGTTCTGCATGTATTCTTATGATCCTAGCACGCTCATTCAGCGTCCTGTTCATTCTCTCTGCCACACCGTTCTGCTGCAATGTTCCTGAAACAGCCTTTACCATTACAATTCCACCGTCTTCACAATATTTCTTGAATTCCCTACTAATATACTCACCATTATTATCCGATCTCAAGCTTTTGATTTTCAGGCCTGTCTCATTCTCTACCATAGCCTTCCATGTTTTGAAAACAGAAAACACATTAGACTTATGTTTAATAAAATAAGTCCATACCTTTCTGCTTGAGTCGTCTATGAAAGTTACATAGTATCTAGAACCTCCAATGGAAGAAACTTCAGAAGGCCACCACACATTGGTGTGAACCAACTCCAATTTTGTAACTTTGGCGTTGAACCTGTCTTTGAGAAACTAACACGACTCTGTTTCCCAAATATGCATCATTCGCCTAACTTGTGTTCCACTACCTTAAGTTCTTCCAGTTTCCCTGTAGAGTGAAGAATTTTCATACCTTTTTCACTCTTATGTCCCAGCCTACTGTGCCATAATTGGGTCTGACTCGAATAATCTACAACAGCTATCATATCTTTGTCTTTGTCGTTGACATACAAATTTCCTAACTTTCTTCCTCGAGCGATCACCATGGAACCCTTTGTAACTTTCCAGTTTTCTTGATCGAAGGATATTTCACATCCTTCATTATCCAGCTGCCCCACAGAAATCAGGTTCTTCATCATATTCTGAACATGGCGTACCTTGAAAATCTTCCAGACTGAACTGTTCCCCATTTTTAAATTAACGTCACCAATCCCAATGAAGTCTAAAGGCTCTCCATCAGCAAGATACACCTTTCCATGATTTCCTGCAACATAATTCTCAAGAATGTCACGTTGTCCTGTAGTGTGAAAAGACGCACCTGAATCCACCACCCATGTGTTATGAGCGCCTTCAACTGCAAAAACTAGAGCATCATGTATTTCTTCAGCAACAATATTTGCACCAGCTTCTTTCCCCTTAACTTTCTTTGGGGCTTTGCAGTTCCTTCTCAGATGTCCTATCTTATCACAATTCCAATATTCTAGTCTGCTGTTTCTAGACTTGCTTCTATTGTTTCTTGACTTTCCACGTTTTCCGTAGTCCCTGTTATTATTTCTTCCTCTGTCCACATTCAATGATGTACCAGAAGTAGACACAATACCAGAATCCTTTCTGCGAATCTCTTATCCAAGAGCTGCATCTCTGACATCTGCAAATTTCAATTTCTCTTTTCTACAAGAATTTGAAATATCTGCCTTCATAGGCTCCTAACTGTCAGGTAAGGATCTGATCAACAAAAATATAGCATTTAATTCATCCG